GGTTCCTGTTATCAAACCTGACACCTTGGGTTTGATCCTGGGAGCCTACATGGTAAAAGGCAGAAAACTAACTTCTGTAAGTTGTCACATGATCTCCACATGTGAGCCATGGTATGGACGAACACACAAAATAAATGTTGAAAAATAAAAGTCAATAAAAATCGCTTAGAAAGATGACTGTTGTTATTGCTGTATTTCAGAGGCCGAGTAAATGATTCACTTCAGAGGCATAAAACTTTGTCCATGGAAATCCTAAGAAAACAAACTCAGAGTTTCATTCGTAAAGACATAGTCCACAAGTCCTTTCCCCCTTGGGTGGTAAGGAATTCACATTGCACCGTACTCATGGGCCTCCTCGGTGATTCTTATCATCTCAAGAAACTATGCTAGAGAAAGCTGGCTGAGAGCAGTCCATTCCCAGCAACTCAGATGTCCCCCTTGCCATAGAATAAGAAAATCCTGCTGTACAAATCCCACAGCCAGGCGTGCACAGCTGAGATACACAAGGGCTTGAAACTCTGAATCTGGACTGTACCAGCCTTACCACACATCATTTTATTTTCCTGGTTCAGCATTTTCTGTAAATATTCATTTTAAGTGTTTTTTTTTTTTAAATTAAATCACTTTGTTCCCAAAAGATCTGTTTTAGACTTTCTAGACTTTAATTTTAATTCGTAAATTGGAAATGCCACCGTGCTTTGGGATGGAGAGAAAGGTTTTCCCAGTGGCTGCCTTGAGGATAACAGCTGGCGTAAGAAAACCTGAGACACGTATTGGAAGTCAGTCATGTTGATAAAATTATTTGTAAAAACATCCAGTAGTGTTGTTGGAAATCTTGGCTTGCCTGTCATATAGAGGATGTTGGCAGTGGGATGAGCAAAGGACTATGACCTCAAAGTGATTACATCCCTTAACCATGCAAATCATTAATTTATTTCCTTGAAATCTCGGGCAGTGTCAATCATCGTGGATTCTCCAGTCAGTGAACCTTTGGTAGGACGTCCTGGGTATTGCTGTTGTAGCACTCCAAGGAGCCACAACTTTTGTTTTCTGGTACAGGAAACCTACAACCCATTCAACAAAACAAGAAAGCCAATGTAATTCCCACCCACTCCCCAGAAGCCAGAGGACATTAACTTTCCATAAACAGAAAGAAAATTACAACTAGTTCAGTCAGTCTCCCCCACCCCCACCACCACCAATGCTCACGGTTGTTACCAAATCCTGCCCCTCTGTGTGTGTGCCAAGGGAAGGCTGTCTGCCCAGCTCTCCCTGACCACACTACCACCTTGGTAGGGCACAGGGCCTGCTACTACCTACTTTTGCTGTTCTCAGAGCCCACTGGGTATGTCGCCAAATAATGCTGCCTTTGTGTGCGTAGGGGTATATGGTGTATGCCCGCGTGGTGTGTGGGAAGGCACATCCGTGTGCGCACGTGAGCGGGGCACAGGCGGATGCAAAATGGTGTTTCCTATCGCTCGCTCTCTCTCTCCCCGCTGGAGCTCACCAGTTGGCCAGACTGGCTGTCCATCGAGTTTCTGGGATCCTCCTATCTCTCTGCCTTCCCTGGGCTAGGATCAGAGGCACATGCTGTCACACCTAGATCTTTACATAGGTGCTAGGGATCCCATGTGGGATGAACTCAGGTCCTCGTGCTTCCATAGCGAACAATTCCCCTAGAGCCATGCTGCTTTGCTATCTGTGTTTGAAGTATCGCAATTATCCATCTATGGGACCAACATAGTAGCCATTGTTACCCATTTCTTGGTGCCAGGCCCTTCCTTTGGCGAAACCCGAGTCCCGTTTGTGTGACAGTGTCTCACTCTTTCTGCAGAGAGAAAGGCAGGACAGTCCCACCACCATCCGGATGACGGTGCAAGTGAAGGTCCACAGGAATTGCTATCAGGCTCTCAAATGCTCAAGGCCACGCTTGAGAAAAGGCTGACTGTTCTAGCAAAAGAATGATTCCATTGTAACTGTCATCTGGCTGGCACCGAGGAGAAGGAGGGCCAAGGTGATCTTGCTTCTCAAGACTAAACTGGATGAAGTTCAGTGTGAAATCAATAAAAGATTTTGTTTTTTTTTTCTCTCGGACCATTTCTCTTGACAGATGAAAATCAAAACAAAGGGAGAGTGGGTGATTGCAGGTCATGTGGCCCTCTGGTGCCAGCTGCAGGACTCCAGGATTAGCCCTGCAGCTGTCCTTTCCTTTGTTTTATTGGGGGGCGGGGTTCATTGAGATGGCTCTTGCCATGTAGCCCAGGCTGGCCTTGCACTCAGCCCTCTTGCCTCTTTTCTCTACACAGCACTTTCGTTTAGGGTAGATGGCCTTGGCTTTGAGAATCACTAGGGATATTGCAGTAGTGTTTGCCTCCTCTTCAAATTCACACACTGAAACCTAAGGGAGCAGCATTTGGACCTGGTCTTTGGGAGGTGGCTGGGTTAGTGGCTTAGGAAAGAGCCCCAGAGAGCTCCCTGTAGAGCAGTGGTCCTCAACCTCCCTAATGCTGGGACCCTTTAATTCCTTATGTTTTGACCCCCCCAACCATAAATTTTCATTGCTACTTCTTAACTACAATTTTGCTACTGTTATGAATCGTAATGTAAATATTTTGGGAGATTGAGGTTTGCTGAAGGCGTAGTGACCCACAGGTTGAGAACCACTCCTCTGGAGGCCCAGACTGGCAGTAATACTTGCTATGTGATGGGATTTATTAGACTGGCTTACACAATTGGAGCCTGAGAGTACCTCAGTGGTTCTGACGGGAGGGAAGGATGCCCACAGTAGCTATTCTGGAATAGAAGTATTCACCAGCAGGAAAAGGCAGGCAGGCAGGCAAGCATTCTATTTTTTTTCTCAGATCTCTTTATGTCTAGGGTGCACCTTACCCCCAACCCTGTCAAAGGTGCTGGACTTCACAAAGACTCCAGGAGGATGTCTCCCTCAGCTAACCCTTCTTGGGAATGGCTCCACAGACCCTTCCGGAGGCATTTCTCTTAGTGGCTTCCGGAGTCATTCAACTTGACAAGATTCACCATCACTCCCCTCAACCATCTGAGGTTACAAGGAACCATCCTTGAGCCCAAAGTGGGTCCTCATTCCATATAGAATCTGATAGTACCCTGACTTGGAGTTTTATTGGTCCCAGGAGAAATCTGGGGATTTTGTTGCGGCAGCACAAATAGACTAAGACACATTTCTCTTTCTTTCCCAAGGAAAAGCAAGCAGAGATCTGAAATGTGCCATATGTCAGGCACGAGGTACACATGATATTATAACACAAATATCATCTGTGAATGTGTTGTAGGATTGGACAGGTGGCTCAGTGGTTAAGAGCACTGGCTGCTCTTCCAGAGGACCCGAGTCTGATTCATAGCACCCACATGGTGGCTCACAACAGCCTGTAACTCTGATCTAGGGGATCTGATGCCCTCTTTGGCCTCCTTGCATACAGGATGCATACAGAACACAGGCATTGAAGAGTAGAAAGAGGGAGGGAGGCAAAGAGAGAAAACTATTGTCACAGCACCAAACTTGGATTATAATTAGCCTTTCATTAGATATGACTTCTAAATGAAAACTAAACGTTGAACCCCACCTCAAGCTTCCTCCCAATACTTCTAGCCATAGAGCGCCCCCTTCCGTTTTGCATCCTTTCTCACACTGCCGCTTCCCATTTCTTTCTTCCTTAGTAAATTTACTCATTTTTCAAGCTTTTAAGTTTCTGAGGATAACCTTGCACTTCTGTTTCAAGTCTCATAATTTTTTATTTTAGCTGGAATGTAGCACTCAATGGGCTTTGCTTATTTTGAAGAATTAAATAAGATTCAAAGGACCAATGCACAGCCCTTGCTCCAAAGGGCATGCTGGAGAGATTCTTTGTAGCTATGTGTAAGAGCCCTCGGCAGGGAACATGCATGGAAGCAGTTCTGAAGGATAAGCTTCACTGCAAAAAAGGTTACATAAACTTTTATAGCTACAAAACGAATAAGGTCCTAAGTCCATATGTTTACCAAGAACATTGGTGAAGACGCCGGGCAGACAGGTTGTGGCAGAGCAACAGACTCTTTCTGGGTGTTTATGCTTAAAAAAAAAAAAATTCTTAGTGTTGGACTGGTGGGAGTGAGTGGCCTTCTGAGCAACACATTCCTAAAGTTTTACCTAACTTAAAAGATGGGCCGGGCGGTGGTGGCGCACGCCTTTAATCCCAGCACTCGGGAGGCAGAGCCAGGCGGATCTCTGTGAGTTCGAGGCCAGCCTGGTCTCCAAAGCGAGTTCCAGGAAAGGCGCAAAGCTACACAGAGAAACCCTGTCTCGAAAAACCAAAAAAAAAAAAAAAAAAAAAAAAAAAAAAAAAAAAAAAAAAAAAAAAAAGATGGTAACTTAGATACAGAGGTCGGTAACTAGAAACAGCTGGAGCGAACTTTGACTCCATCCCCAACATTCCATCTCTCCACAGAGAGGAAGTCAGTTCTATTCTGCAGAATGTAAGACACAGAGGAGGTTTTTTCCAGGGAGCTTCAGTTCACACAGGATTAACTATCATTTTCTTCCAGTGGGGGGCGGATGGCTTTTCTCTGGATGGGGAGTGTCGGGGCCCGGAAGAACATTTAGAAGTCAGGATTAACTATCATTTCTTCCAGTGGGCGGCGGATGGCTTTTCTCTGGATGGGGAGTGTCGGGGCCCGGATGAACATTTAGAAGTCAAGTCAACAGCAATTCCGTATCACTAGCGCAGTGATTGGCAGGCGAAGGTTGGCCGAGTCCCAGGCGTTCCTTTCCTGTGTTCTCTCCGGTGTTACCTTTCTCACCCTAAACAATGCTCGGGATCACAATTCCTCCAGCCCACAAGGTTGCGCCGGCATTTGGCCTCTTGCTCCGCCTGTGCCGTGCAGGAATCCATCCTTGCCGGGGTTCCTGGCTCCGCCCTCCAGCGAGGACCTGCAGCCTGTCAAACTGGTGGGTGGGGCGTGCACCAGGCCCCGCCCCCGACGTCACCGGCCCCGCCCACGAAGCTCTGGGCCCTCCCGCGCTGTCCCCTCTGCTCTGTTTCGGCTGCTCCGCTGCGCCATGGCGTTCGTGACCAGGCAATTCGTGCGCTCCATGTCCTCCTCCGCGTCTGCCGCCGCCAAGAAGATCCTGATCAAGCATGTGACGGTCATCGGCGGCGGGCTGATGGGCGCCGGCATCGCGCAGGTGAGGGGGTCGCGTGCCCAGGGTATCGTGGAAGTAGTTCGAAACCGGCCGAGAAGGGAGCAGCATGCTCCACGGTCCCAGATCCAGAGCTTTTGGCCCAGTCCTTATGTGCATGCTTCTGAACCAGCTGCCCCGGGCCGGGGAAGGCTCGGTGGAGAGCGCTGGTGCACGCGTGCACGCTGGAGTAGGCTGTGCTAAGTTCTGTGTGCAGAGTTGCTGAGTGTGTTTGCTCACTCCCGGGGGCAGATAGGAATCTGCTTGCCAAGACCTGGGCTGCTATTTCTTTTAATTTTCCTTATCAGTTTGATTAAAAAAAAACAATTATCCGGTTGTTATCTAGGCAGTTTTCTTTCCAAATGTCCTGCCTCTTCCCCCATATTTCCTTCGTTGGCCTTCACTTTTGAAACATTTTGGAAAGTCACCTAGTGGGAGTTTGTGGAGTTGCTGGGACTCCGCCCCAGGCTGTGCCAAGCAACTTTGACCTTTGACCTAGTGCCCTGGGTGCAGAAATCTGTGTGCATGCCCAGCTCTCAACCCCATGAGAGTGGGAGACAGAGATAAACGCAGAGGGCCCTGAGAAGTCTCTAATCTCTAATCAGCTTCTGTAGGACTTTGCCAGCTGAGGCACACACAGTTCAGGATCAACTGTGCAGTTTGGATACTATAACCCATGTAGTACTCTTTTCTGTTAATAGTTCCTTTCTACGTCCATTGAAGAACTATGATGTCCTCGCTGTTACATTCTTATCATTTTAGGCCTTTGCAACTTGAGTTTTGTGGCAGTGGAGAGCAGTAGGCTTATCATATTTAATTAGGGAGAGTATCTTCAGGTCGGTGTCTTTTCCCAACCAAATGCATACTTCACGTTTGCTTTAAACATGTTAGCAGTTAACTTGATTGCATTTTCTTCTAAAATCTGTTTGTGTGTTAAAAAAGAAATACATAGCTAAACTGGAGAAAGTATATAGCTAGCACCTATATCCCTGTGAACCTCCAAAACTTCTCAAGGCCCTGAGGAGGAGATTGGCTCTTCAGGTCCAATAAAACAATGTATCCCTTAAGAAATGTTTGAGCAGGATTGGAGAGATGGCTCAGTGGTTAAGAGCACTGGCTGCTCTTCCAGAGGACCTGGGTTCAATTCCCAGCACTCACGTGGCAGCTCACAACTGTCTGTAACTTCAGTTCCAGGGAATCTAGCACCTTCATACAGACATACATGCAAGCAAAACACCAATGCACATAAAATAAAAATAAATACATCTTTAAAAATGTATTTTAAAAAAGAAATGTTTACGCAACATCTCAGTAATGAGATAATAGGGTTTTATGCCTCCAGTAACAATATAGGAAAGGATCCAGAAACGGTTGTGGATTATAAACTAATTAGAAAGCATCATACAGTTTGTGTACAAATGCAGGTTGCTGTGTTCTGTGGATGCTGCGTCCATCATTGACCAAAAAATAGTGTGTTGTACTGCCTGAGGACCCACACAGGAAGCACTTAAACTTCAGTGGATAAGGTGCTAGAACTTTGAGGATAGGAAGGAAAGTGAGTGACAAGAATAGGGATCGTAGATTTGTGGATTAAATACTTGAGTAACTGGACCAGGAGTAGCGGGACCATATGGAAATTTTTTGAATAAAAAAGTAACAAAGACCCAAAGTCTACACAGTGGGCATTCATAAGGAACAGCAGTTCCTCCAGGTCATTTTAGGTGACAGCTCTAGTCCTTCAGGGGAGACTGCTTTCCTGTGTAATGTCTCCACTATGTTGCCAGTGGTTTAGCTGGTCCATTTCTCACACTTGGCCTTGTAGCGAGCTGTTTCTAGGTAGTGCCATCCCCTTCTATTTGAAAAAAAAAAAATCCATAACAGACAGTTTTCTGGTACAGGGTAATAAATCTTTTTTTTGCCTCCAGCACCAGTGGTTAATTATTAATTAATGTGTTGAGCACAAGGAGTTGGATGGTCTGCATGGTGGTGCTAACACAAGGAAGCTGCTTTTTCTCTTCACTTCCGTTTCTCCAGAGTAGGCCAAGTGTTGGCTTTGTAGGAATATGGGAAAGGAATAAGTGAATTAGCACCCATGTGGCCGTAGAGCCCTAAGAGAAGTCACACTGTCTTTGTGATTATTGCCGTTGTTACATTCAATCCTGTCCTGCTGTCCTTTTAGCCTGATGTCATGTCCACTTGTGAGCCTCATCCTTGACGTGGAGGTAGGTGTGTTGGGCTTAGGTGGAGAGCACTGATCCCTGCTTCCTGGGCCATCTTATTATCCCTGACGCAGAGACCAGCTGATACTGCGGTTTGCTCGGGGACTGCTGAGCAGGACAGTGCCTTTTATTTCATTATTCCGCCTGAACGAGGCCATAAAAGTACAAACACAAATTAGCATCTGGGTTATCATCATCCATCACATTTAGCTCCCATTTCTCTCAAATTCTGTAGGAAGTAGTCTAAGTCAGGTGGCAGTTTTAACAAATTGATGTGTTCCAGTTTGTGCTGAATGATATGGAAAAAAAGGTGTGAATAGGTTTTATATGCACCCAATGAATTTATCAAACAGTTAAGTAATTTTAGACAAACGAGGTCCAGGCTGAGTCACATTTGGCCAGAGCATAGGCTGTTAGTTCATGTGTACTTTCTAAGAGCATCTACATTGCCTGTCATTTTTTTGTTTATTTTAAATTAAGATAAAAAGGACCCTCTTAGACTGCAGGTTAATGTTTAAGTACATTGACTTGTTTTACGTGTTTGCCTGTTAGGTACTTCTCACTTGGTTCTGACTGTCGATTTATCCTCAGCCAGCTGCTCAGGCCGGCAAAGAGGCCTGTGGCATTAAGTGAACTTTGAGTGGAGACAGATTGCTTTCTGCTTTGTAAAGAAGGAAGGAGGAAGCCGAAGCCTCTGCGTTTCTCAGGTTGATGGAGGAGTCCTTCCTAAGCTTTGCTTACGCTGTTCTCATATGAAGAGTCCGGAACGCTCACACCCGCCATTAAATGACTGCGCTGCCAGCGAATGGTGTTTGGGAGACTTCCTGGCTCAATGTGTTTAGTATCTTACACTTTGGTGGGGGGCGGAGTTTGAGCTTGTGAAGATTAGGAATTCATCTTACCAAAGCCCTCAAACTGGTGTGTTTTGTGTGCTTGTGTGTGTGTGTGTGTGTGTATATATGCTTGAGCATGTGTGTCTTTTTCAAAAACTCCAAGATGAGCTGGCTGGTAGCTCAGTGATGGAGCTGTGTGACTGTGATCTCAGCACTCTTCCATGTGAGATGGGAAGTGAGGCCCAGCTGTCTCACTTACCTGTCTCGAGGCCCAGCTAGCCTGGAGTGTGTATCATGGCAGAGGCAGCAGGTAGGAGAGAACCAACTCGCAGAAATTATCCTCTGATCTTTTCATGCACACTATAGCACACGTATACACACACACACACACACACACACACACACACACTAAAACCAGCAACGTACATTTATTTAGAGTTCTTTAAACTATTGAACTGGTTGCAGGGGGAGCGTTCTAAGCTACGGATGAACGTTTGTTGGATTCTTTTGTCCTTGCACAATGCTCAGTAAGTGGGCAGTGCTCGGACAGACTGGAAAGCTTCTCCCTAGCCGCTGAATTCGTCCCCACCTCCCCTCGCTGTCCTCACTGAATTTTCTGGTGTTTCACGGAATGGTAATCAGAGCTCTGTGTATTTGTTAGCCTTAGTAACTTCTGTTGTTACAGTGAGTTACAAGTTTTCTTGAAAAAAATAAATGGAGAAACTTATACATGTTAGCATCATAGGAGACTAGCATAGTTCCCGGACTGTGAGCTCTCCTTTCAAATGTGCCTTGTGGAGGCCATATTTTTATTCCCAGCTCTCTGTCCTTTCTTCCTTCCTGGTTCCCCTATGTAGCTCTAGCTGGCCTAGAACGGACCATATACACCAGACTGGCCTTGAACTGACAGAAATCTACTTCCCTCTCCAGACAAATGCTGCGATTGAAGAAATGCACCATCATGCTCAGCACACCAGCAGTTTTTTCTGCTCAAGGGCACGCCATTTGTTTGCCATAAACTTCTCCCTGCTTTCCTGGGTTCCTTAGCTCTTTATTGGGTGGTCCTCTGGTAGACGCTGAAGCACAGCCCTATGGCATATTCATCTTCTGACCTGGAGGGGATTTGGAAGTGCCGCCATTCTTAGAGGGCGTAAAAGTTGAGCTGCCAGATTTTTCTTTGTGATGATGACATTCTACTTTGCCTGTCACTTGTCCCTTTCTTGGGTTTTCCATTTTCTCCTCTCCCTTCCAGTCTCCCCCGCTGATGTACCTAAGGCACACATGCTTACCTCGGTCCCGCTCTACTAGAACCACATGGAGCTGATACTGCTGCTAAAGACACATGGTGGCTGGCGAGTGGCGCCCTAAGTGTGAAAGAGCAGGCACTGAGGTCCCTGCAGGAGTTGGTTTTATTTTTTTACACACACACACACACACACACACACACACACACACACACACGCCACAGTGAACCTGTGGCAGTCAGAGAACAGTGCCTGCCTTTGAATATTGGTGCTAGGATTGGGAAGAAGTCAGATGTGAGGATAGTTTCATGACATTGGGAGTTTGGGGATAGACTGTGATGTTGATGAAGTACAGTCCTCCTGGTGGAGGGTCCTAAGACATTCGCCAGCGATGTGCTGAGGGTGCGGGGAGACCAGGGATGATTGCAGCAGTTGATGCTACTCTCTTGGATTTACCATGTAAGTTATTTATGCTCCAGAAAACCTGATTCAAACTTTATGATGCATTTGCAAAAATGCATAAACCCAGTGTGCTTCTGCCTGGCACGGTTGCTTGGTCCTTTGGCCAGAGTACTGGGGGCTTTGACAAGCGTGCTATTCACTGGGCCTATTTTTACAGCTCTGAAGCACCCTTGTCTAAAAATATTTCCTCTTTGGCTGAACCTGCCTTCCACCAGGCCCAGGAAAGTCATGGAGCTGAGGACATAGTC